AATTAATGTGTTGCATACATTGAGGTAAATGAACGGTGCAATGCCTTGTCACTTATTTCGTTGAGTCAATACTCGGCATTACTCTTACTTAAGGACCCAGATTGTTAATACGATGCACACACCAAGCAGCGTCGGTTATTCCCTTCAAAGAATACGAGATGAATGTAATTAAGCCATCATTTATTCGTTCTAGTTTTTGTAGAACGCAGCAGGGTTTCTGTAACCATTCAACTTGAATACTCTGACTAATTTTGAATAACTCGGTCCAAAGTGTCACCGTAAATTTTTTCGTCATCATCAACAATACCGATTCCATCCAACTTCAAGAGGCTGCTGTTGTCCCATTCTGTCTGCTTTTCTTGGTTTCCCTTTGAATAGGGACTGACTTTGGTTGTAAACATACGGTTTGCTCCTCGTTTTTTCAAAACTTGCGTATTTAGCACTACAACTAAATGAAGTAAGAATGCACCCCCTGTCCCGTTCCGATCCATTATTAAGCAAAGTCGAACTAAATTATGGAAGAATCGAGCCTCTGAAGCAACTCAATTCACGACAACAATGTTGCCCTTTGAAGTGAATAAGATCGGTCGGGCCCATTTATGAAGTTGTTCTCGGGAACATTGAATTTTATTAACTATGCAAGAAGAACTGAAATAGTTGTAGATGAAGGAATTTAGTCAACAGCACCATTCATGTTTTCAGCAAATATTTTAAAGTAGAATTTAAAAATACACATAATGTTCAATCTTGTACATATATTATTTACTGTTGATTATTACAGCATATTGCTGATAACTTAATACAACATGAACTCTATACAAGTTTGTCAATAAAGAGTATCGTTCTCAAATACAATTTGTACTTCATGTTTCATTGGAGGAAAAGGATCAATTTATTTTATTCTGGTGCATTAAGTAGGGGGAATTTCGAGCTTTTCCTCAACGGCGGACGAGTGAGACATCATTCAACCACCCACCACCCACCCAGTGCTTTTAATGTGGAGCATAAGTGTATAAATATGAAACCCAAATAAAGGCTTAAAAGCTGGGAATGAAAAGTTGAAGGCGAGAGCAATAATGTTTTCCAAAAGAGTTTATAAATTCTCCATTATGATCTCTATTGAGGGTAAAAGTTGAGCAGGTTGTTGCAAACACTTTCAAACTGTTTACATTGACTCACTCTATTGAGTTATGGAACGAAATGGGAATCAAAATACACTCGGAATTTATACCCTTTGAGCTCCTGAACCAAATAGGACAGGAGAATGACACTTTGTACGTACAACCCATAGGACCTCTCACGCGTCGGCACAGGAGGAGAGATAATGGCAGACTGTCGTTCTCAAAATATTATTTTTCAATTAAACCAGTAAATGCTTTCATTTTGTGTAACAAAGGCTCAGACACAAGTTCAACTCCTTCTCGGTAACGAACTCCACTTTAGTTGCCGTTCAGGATGGAAGAAAGTATGGCAAGGATTCTGAAACCATTAAGCTTTAGATCATCATCATCAGCAACAATAACAAAACAAGGTTGCTATTTGAAAACAGTGTTGAGCAGATGATGAAATTAAGGCTTTACTTAATCCACACATTTTCATCCTTTCACACGACGATTCACACCAGAAGACCAGCGGCAACTGTGTAGTGGGTCCAAGTAAGTAATCAGTTCGCTCCCTTGTAGTTTGCAATAAGTGGGAGTTAATTGAGTTTACCGAACCAACGGCCAAACAGTTGTCTCGACATCGGCGTCTCCAATTCAATTCAATTTAATTGTTGATGTATGAATTAAAATTAAAAGCACAATGAAACCCAAGATGGCTCAAATTGGAGCGTAAACATGCAGGCGTGGCAGAGAGTTTTGCATATCTGTAAGCACTGAACCTTAGAGTGAAACGAAATGCAGAGGACAGAAATTAAATAATGGCCGATCAACATAAAGTAATGAAATTAATATGTTTGTGCACCAGACCCCAATTCATGCACCCAGCCAGTCAATAATCATATCTGTAACAGTTTGCTCCATTTGGACGAATGAACGGAGGTGTTTATAGATTGACAATGAAGTAATAATTACGTATATGTACATACGTAATGCATACTGCGAACCACAGAACGGTGTGGGTAGTACCTTCGTAGATACTTATGAGAAAGGTGTGGGTATTGGATATCAGGAAATTTTAATATCAAATGAATTCCTGGCCGGATCAAATTCACAGAGTCGGAAAGAGGGTGGTCTGCTCCGGTTTTGATCGCATCTCATATTGCATTATTATTGATTGAAAAGAAGGTTTACTCTGGTATGAATTTGATTAGTCTTGAATAGAGTCATCAAAAAAGATTGAGATCGGACACACAACAAAATACAATACGATAAAAATATGAGATATACTTTGCTCATTATTATCATAGCTGTTGTTAACCCTTTATTTTGGTTGGAGATGCCTGGTGATTACTATAAAGTGAGGAGATTAGACACATATTGCTCAGCCTGCTTTAAAAGGGGAGCACGAAAACGCAGGGACGATTTTTATGAATGGGATAAATGAAGGTCTATCAAATGCAAAAACCAAAAAGGGATCCCCTTTTGTAATTCAGAGCATTGGGCTGAAATGAAAAATGGTTGTTGTGTAAAAAAGCGGCATTATGTTTCGCAACCCCAGCACATCATTTTTAAAACAAGCGTCCATATTTCCACTGCATGGCAAGTAATAATACGGAGCATTATTTAAGGGTGCGAGTGAGAGTATGAAGAGCGGATTAGAAAAGTTGGACGACGATGAGAGATGATTAGACAAGCCCGTCCCATGCTCGTTGGTCTTGTTGGTTGGCTGCTCATCTCGTCTCCCTTTGTCATTAAATCACACCCATTTGCGCACCATTTCATTCAACATTTAGATACTCAACTCACTCCGCTTTGATTCAATTCGACTTAATTTATGCTATAAAGGGATTGTACACACATAGAAGCAGTACAGGCAAGGGGCATTTGGTGTCGCCGTTTCCACACATCTTATTATTATCACACACACATTATCGAGCTGAGTCATAAGTAAGTAATGTGAGACCATGTCGTTTAAATGTTAATTTTTAAAGCCAAAACTAACACGACGACATGGTATTATTTATGTGGAGCAAGTGACATGAATGAGTCTTTTTATAGTCGAATCACACGTACTTTGTTGGAATTGTTCCAGCCAGAAATGCATGCTCCGAGTGAATGAATTAGTAGTTCGTCAATGATGAGAACACCATCTATTTTATTTTTTGATGACGATGAGAAAGGAGGTTAAAAGCAAATTGATGCAAGTTGGAGTTATGTCCTCAGGGGTGGATTAAAGGAATGAGCAATAATAACAGAGTAGAATTAACTGGCTCCTGTGTCTGGTCGATCCTTCCTCTGGATGTGGAAAGAGAAGATGATATCATATTTCATAAAACGTGGAGAATTAATCGTCTCATGAATACAGAACAACCAACCACCCAGTTTTAGGCATATACGAAAATGCTTGGTTATTAGAAGAGAATGCTACGAGGTTACGGAACAGAAAGGAAGTGAGCCTTGTTGAATGGGTGGATGTAGGACGGATATCGGAATCAAGAGATGTGACATGAATCCACAGACTAATAGGAATAATCAACTTTTTCAGTAAACTTGGTCGATGGGGGGCATTTACACCGTGGTCCTTGCTCCACAAGAACGTGTATAAACACGCATTTGAGATTGGTGTGACTGAATCCTCCACAATTGTCAAACTCTCCTCAGCCTGCCCCTTAATTTCCATCCCATCTCATTTCATGAACACTCGCGAAACTGAGAGCGAGTAACTGCAAATGGAATGCTAGTGAGAGTATAAGAGGCTTCATTATGGGGGTGAAAGCGTATGAATTTATAGCAAATTATACAAGATCCCTATGAACCCATGATCCATCCATCCCACCAACCGCCACGCCAGGATAAGGAGAAGATAACTGAAGGGCGAGATCAGCTCATCATCTCGAATGGCGGTGCGGAGGTGTTGATGAGATGGGAGGAGGATTCACCAGTGCTGACTGAGGCAGAAAAGGAATTACTGGTGGGACTCTGGCTCCCAGATTAGGCATGCCAAAATAGCCTTTCAACTAATAGGCTTCCCCATCATAAAGAGATCTTCCTGTCGTAAAACCCATCTCACTTTACTTTCTCTGCTCTCCAGCATCCAGGCGTATTTATTCAGGCCAAGACAAGGGGAGAGAGAGACGAGAACGAATTTCTGCTCCTAAGATGGTTCGGGAAATATTGCATTGCATGATAATGATGACGACGACGAGAACGATGAGGACAGCGACATTCCGAATCGACCTCATCATCACTTTATTACCATATTATTCCCACCACCAGCCCGTATACCAGAGCAAGTTTTGATGTCGTATTCTTCTTTTCCAACCTATTTTCCCAGCATTGGTCTAGTAACTTTCTCCCCACTTTCTCCCCAACTCATCATCATCCAGTAAGAAATTTTACGCCACTACCTGATGTATCTCTCCACACCGTATGCATGTGTACATGTTTCTAATAAATTGGATGGGGTGACTTGAGACTTGAGATTTAGTTCTCTGTATTACCTATATTATTACCCACATTGCTTATTTCATACAAAAATTCAAGTTATACTGAGCACGTACATTAAAATAAACATTTTAAACATTATATTATTTATTTTAAACATTAGATGAAAATTACAAAGCTTTAACGATGTTAATGCAGTATCTGTTAAATGATTGTAGTAACACCCGTTGAAAACATCGAGTTTGTGAAACAGCTCCTTGTCTCAAGTTTCGCAACTTGGCTCCTCTGTTAAATAATTGTCAAATGTGAATGTCATGAAGTGCGATTGTGAATCTCTGTAGTTTTGCAGGATTTGGAGAAAGTTTTGGTGGGTGAAGTTGAGATTTTCGCAGCGATTTGGTGCTGCTGGCTTTGGTTTCCATCGCTTCCGCCACCTGTACAAAAATCTCCTCAACTCGCTCCACAAACTCCGCGAAGTTTGTTATCCAAAATAATTTTACAACATACAAAAATAAAAAGTTTCTAAATAATTCTTTTCAGTATTTTAAAATATTTGTTATATCGTTACTCCTGTTTTTAATTAGTAGTTTGGATCACAGATCATTATCGGCCTTTACAGGATTTTACGAGTACAAAATGGCGGACGACTTACAATCCAATTTGGAGAGCTATAATCTTCAATTGCAACAGGTAATTTGTTTGTTTTTAACATTTAATTAATTTCAAATTTTGGCAATGCTTAATAGCTTCCTCTCCACTCTGAGGTACTCTAACTGATAGTCAGAAAATTAGAAAGTCAATTTAATAGAATACACCGAAAATAGAAATTGTTGGTTAAAAACTTAAATAAATATGTAGGTACCTTGCCTTGCTGATAAGTTAACTATTATTTGGTGAAAATCTTTGGTGAATGATTTATTATATAGCTTAAATCAATTAATGGACTCTTGAGATCTTATAAGATCTTGGTTCAATCTAGGTTGAAGCTGCCCTAACATCGGATCCTTCAAATGAGGAGTTATTGAAATTGAAAACGGACCTCACTGAAGTAATTGAGCTGACAAAAGAACTATTTGACCAACAAAGTGGTCCTGGGTCAAGTTATGGCGATGGTATGTACATTTATTTGTAATACATATATGACATGGTGGATATAATTTAAACGGCAACTTTAAATTTGTTTCTATTTATAGAGTCCCGTTCTTGGAAAGTTGGTGATAGATGCCTTGCTCCATGGTCTCAAGATGGTAAATACTATGAAGCTGTTATTGAGGAAATTCATGATGATGGAAGAGTTTCTGTTGGGTTTCAAAAGGTAATTATTTTTATCTGAAAGGCAACAATGTACTGACGGAAATGAAATGAAATATTTCATCATTTCATTTCGGTTTAAATACAGTTAAAATTCTAACAAAATATAATTTTAAAATTCTATCTGCGTAGTAAATGCAGCAGTTTATTAAATACTAAACTATATACTAAATTTCATTACAAATTGACCAAAAATACAATTTGTGCCTTAATACCAGTCTAATTTTTGTCCAAGCGTGGGTTGAATTTGTGGTGCGAACGGGGCTGTAGGGAAAATGGGCCGCAAAAACCAGGAAAAGAGGTCAAGTCTTTAAAAAAATCTCTGAGGGACCCTTTCCGTTAGGGGACGTTTTTTGCCCAAATTTTCTGAGATTTTCGCGGAAAGACAGAAATCGAACCCACGACTCGGAGCCATAATTCTCCATTATGAATGAACTAATATTTTTCTGTGTTTATTGTTGTTTTCAAAAGTATTCGCACGGTGATGTAACCCAAGTTTCCCAGTTGAAAGTATTTGATGCCAGCTACATAGAACCTTCTCGAGATGGACAAGCCTCTACTAGTGGGACATCTAGAATTGCACCGAAAGAGTCGTTAGCTGAAAGGTATGCATAAACAATGCAAATCTAAGGCAATTGGAATAAACTAAATGCTAATGGCTGTTATGTTTTATAGAAAACAGGCCCTTCAGAAACAGAAAGAATATTTGAAAAAGAGAAAGCAAAAGAAGGTAGCGCGTGTTCATGAACTTGAAGCAGAACGTGAAAAATCCAAAAAGTCATGGTTAAATTTCTCTGTACGTAAACAAATGCATTCATGTTATTTCAATGGAATGTTTGACTATTTTGGAATGTAATCTAATTATTCTATAATGCTTGCAGACTAAAAAGGGACTTCTTAACAAAAAGAAAAGTATATTCGCATCCCCCGAGTCAGTTCAAGGTCGCGTTGGGGTTGGGACATGTGGCGTGTCTGGTAAACCTATGACAGAATACTCTGCTGCCGATAAATGGAGGAAAGGATGGACTAAATAACATATTTACAATTAACCAGCCCTTGTCTTATAGTTAAAAGAGTAATCAGTAAAATTTATCGTTAAATATAGTTTCTCATATATCTGTGGACTGACACTCTTGGAGCAAATTTACGTACATGCGGTATGAATAGGTCAGTTATATATTTTACCAACTCGAACTTTACCTACATATACTAATTACGATTTTCGCAATTTTCATACTAAATCAAACTTTAGTAATCAGATTTGTTTTTGTATTTAATTTAAAGTTATAAACCAACGCATATTCTTCATTTTAATGTTTTATCAATAAATTAAATCACTGAATGAATATACATACTCTCGTATTCGTAGTAAGATTTAACGCCTGACTTGAAAATGATTGGATGAATGACCAGGCTTGACGAAATGCATTGCCAAGCATTTGTGGATGAATGAGCGATTGTAAATGCATGGATATAATAAGTAAATGACTCCTTCTTTTCGCTACTTGCTTCACTGCAACCAACCTAAATCTGGAACTCGTGGAATCAATTAAGAAATACAGATGCATGTTCCACCCAAAACATGTCCTGTCCACTCCAAGAGAACATGACTCCACTATTGTGAGGATCTTCATGATCTCAACTACGCATCGTCGTGGTTTGTTTTGATACCAACTTCTATTCATGGCCGATCATTGACCACGAACATTGAGCAAATAATATATCCCTACGTCCACCTACGCCGTTGAATGAGGAAAAGAAGCTGTTACTCGGACATAAATAATATCCATGAAGTATACGAGATACTTTGAACTTCAATTAGCTCGTCCACTTTTGGCTACAATGATTTTGTGTAGAAGTTTGACGATATGGGTTGGTGAATATTGTGCACACAATATTAAGGATATACAGATATATTGAAGGATTTGTTTAGTCCTCAAAAAATTGCCACTTACTATTTTCAATTTAAATAGCTCTAAGCTGTCTCGCAGTGTAATTATGATAGTTGACACACGTAAGATGGGGAATTCGGGATAATGATAATTAGCGAAACTGGTTCTAATCTCTAAAACAGTTTCGTTGACCTATTTGTCGGAATATAATTGATTTATGTGAGAGTATGTGAACCTGAAAATATACTTACGTGTGCTTATTCGCATATTACCAATTTCATTTCAATGGGAATAATATTTTGTACTCTGCTGAGACACAAGATTTGTTATTCCACAATATATGAGAATAACTCCTTAAAGTAAAATATATTCATATTCATTCAACCACGTTTCTTGTAACAGAAAATCAGTGATACACATAAGCAGTAAAACTATTTGAATGCACAATTAACTCTCTTGCAGAAATATATAATAATATGTAAGCGTTCATTCCTCTTCAACTTTCTATATTCATTCGCTTGCTGCTGGCTAGTTGTTGGAGTGCAATCATAGTTGATATTTCATGGACAATAACAAGCACGTGTGTGACACTAATGATACATTGACATTCAATACTCATCCTCATCAATAATTTCCTCTATCTAAATTTCCTACCAATTAAAAAATTGTATCTACCTACGTATAAAACATACAGATACAAAATAATGCATGGCAGAAAAATGTAAACTTTTTGCTTGTTGTGAGCCTGTAAGTATTTTGAGCTGTTTTGATCCAGATCTCATCAAAATTTTACAGAAATGGCTTCAACTATTTGTCTGAACATTAGTACAAGTGAAAAATTTAATGCGTTTCTCATGTTTTAAATGGTGGGTGGACATTTTCCCCCAATAATTTAAGTGCGACAACCTATACAATCCTGCAACGCAGTTTTCTAGGGAAAGTTCATTCCAGTTCTCGTCAACACGAAAAGAAAGAAAGCGAGGAAGCTTTTGTCGTCCATTGCATTTTGCTTGGATGGTGGTGTTGCTGCTCTTGGATGTGCATAGTCTCCCGAGCTAAAGCCCTCACTGCATAGCAACAGCATACTAATGCCAGATTGACATTATAAACCTACCGACGACGGAGTACACACGGGCAGCTTTCTCCTCTCGCACATATAATACGGAGCTCAGAACTCGACGCTGTTTCAGTCGAACGTATGTACACGTGCCGGATCCCACGATCTTCGCACAAGGACTGAAAGCCTCTTCTTCTTCTTTCCCCATTCACTTGGTTCCCATTCGAGCCCTCATCATGATACATAGAACGTGGAAGAATAGGGCCAAGAGTGAGTGGAAAAGGGCTCCTCATTTCACCCCCACTTACTTTCACCACGACTGAGAAACATTGAAACTTATATATTGGATGAAATACGGGTTGTTGGTCGTGGTTCGTAATGAAATGTAGGACTAACATGTAACGGAAATGGAGATCCTGCTGCTGCTGCTGCTGCGAGTGAGTGGTAGTGATGATGATGATGGGAATGGCATTGGCGTTCTTGTTGAGGTGATGGAGAAACAAACGGCAGGGAATACCCGGTAGAAGATTTAGGACAGGTAGTTTGCTCATCCGGTCCATTTTCTGGGTAGGTGAAAATGGTGTCCCACTGCTCCGTCGTAGTATCTAATCGAATGAGTGGTATTAGAGTGGAATAGCGTATGCAGAATAAGATTCTCAGTATTTCAAATTTCTTCGGAAATGGTAAAGTGAAACCTAATTTGCCTCAGACTTGTTTCTCGGAATACATTTCGAAATCGAAGAAAGTGAACAAACAACACGCCGATCGATGAGAATGTTAAGCTTGTACGCGAAAGAATTCTCTGTTGTCGACATATTTAGAATTAGACACGACAAACTGACTTTGCATGGTAAAATTTCACAACTCCTTGTGAAAGCAATTTCTAGGAATGGTTGGAGATGAACATTTCTCCGCGTGTGCATCTCCTCAGGCTTAGAGTATTAAATCAATTTGGTTTCTATAAAAGGTTCGAGTGCTCAGAACACCAGTTTAATTTATTCAATTTGGTTGCCACTTCACTTTTTTGGATGAGCGAGTTCCTCCTGGGTCAGCAAATTGGTAAGTGGAGCAGATAAATAAGAGAGAAAAAATCTGTTTGAAATGCTCAGAATTGAGATTGTTATATAACATGTACATATATATTGTTCCCACCGAATCGATATCTCAGTATTGATGAAAATCATCATGGCTTACATGGCTTGTGGATAAGTTAATGATACGGGAACGAGTTATATAATCAAAATCAAAATGTTGTGGGGAAGGTTTACAACGCAGAATGTTGAATATGGAAGATTGCCTTAGATTCGAGATTGGACCCTCAGTTCGTCGATGGTCGTGGTAACTCGTGTTATGATCACACCACCAACAGAAACGAAGGACACACCACCAACCACCACAAACCGTGCCTGCCAACTTTCTCCGTCGTATTCCCCCCCTTTGCCCCTTGTGCAGAAAGAATAAGCCACACAACCTCAACCTTTTAAATACCTTATCCAACGTGTCTCATTCCATTTTATGCAGGCTGGCAGTTCAGGAAGGAACGTCTGAGAAATTTAAGTATATGTCTGCCGGCATAGGTCGGATGGTGATGTTTGCAATTGCCTTGGATAACCCGATTTTGATTACCAAATGGACACGATTATGGAAATCCACTCTTACGTGGGCTTTGTTTACTAGTCTGCTGGGTTATGTATTCATAGATTATTTAATTTCATCATTGGGCACGCAGACAGTCGAGGAGGAGTGACGTATGCACGTAGCATAATCTGCGAGAGCTCTTTCACTCTTGCCCACTACCCCACCCAACCCGGCGAACGGCGAAAGTGGAGCAGAAGAATCAACTCCACGAGGCACGCAGAATAACAAATCGCATCAAGGGCAACTTGTTCATACTTTGGATTTTTCCATCCTTCTCCGTCCATTTATATAAAGCACTGTGCTCTCCTTCCTCCATTCATATCAGGGCATTGCATTGGGGAAACGCGTTGATATCTAATTCTGGCAGCAGTTTTGCAAAGAATTTCCTCCCTCCAGTTGGATGACACTATTCCACATGAAACGTGGTCGCACAATTTTATCTTTCTCATAAGCAGTAAAAAGCAAAAAGTACGCACTTTAAGCATTTTCAAACTTGCGATGAGAAGGGAGTACTTTCACCACCACCACCGCCGTGCGCCGCCATCATCTAGATCCGTCGAGGAGTATTATGCAATTGACGACCAACTGCGTATTTGCAGCGCATGAAATTCTAAGCGTTCATTGAACTGCTTTCACTTCTACGTCTCAAAAATTTTACGATTCCTAATGTTTATACGTCGTAGGAAAATATGTTTACCAATTGTGAGCCCAATTCATTTGTGATGTTTTTGATTACATATGAGGTCTATTGGTCGATTATTGTTCTGATACATCATGGCAAACTTTTAATTATAATTTTTAACCTTTTGAAGCCGGATCCATCGACAATCTTAAATATTCAGCATTGGAGGATAGGTACCATGACATAAAAATATGTGGATATGGATCTGGCGTTATACATACATAGTGACAACCTTTAATCATTAATGTACTTATTAATGACCAGTCGTAAAATTAAATTCGCTCAGGGACAATAGTTGGTCATGAAATATACTCCAAACACACCGCTGTTCATATAAAAAAGCACCGGTTTCCAAACATACATCGGAACTCTAGTCTACTTACTCAATCAGAATGATACGAAAATTGGACAGAGAATCTTTTCTCAATGCTCAGTGACATTTTATTACCGACCAAAAACAGCATAACTGTGTAGCAATAGTAAATATGTACGAGGCTATTAGTTGTTCTCAAAGCATTATATTCTCATGAAAAGAGATGATTTGTAGTTACTTTGACGCGTGTGTTTGTGTATCGACCCATCTTAAATAAAAATATATTCAAACCAGCAACACCGAACTTGCACACTTCTGTACAGACGCCCATGGCCACGAGTCAAGGAGAAGCAAGGACAGATAGATACCCGGGTGTGGGTTGGCAGAAATCCGGATGCAATATAGACGTCAGAGGACATTGTGAATTCGTTTGAACTTGAAACAATCGCTTCCTCTTCCGTCATTGTTGCTTACCTTGAAGTCCTCATTTTGAAACGGTTGTTAAATGAACATTTCCCATTTTCTAGATATTCTCACATTCCTCATTGTTATGTATGCTTATACTTTTAATTCAAACATAACTTTCATGCTTCTATCGAAATAACCGAAATGAAAGCATTCATTCTTAAAAAAATCATTTTTGTGAATGCTCTCATGGGGTCTATAGGATCCTTGAACGACATTTGTGGGTGGGTGGGAAGTAAAGAGAAGTTGTCGGCGAATATGCTGTGGTGCCAATGCCATGCACACGCACTTCTCGCCTATGCT